CGCGGGGGCTGTGTAAACCGCCGCTGCTGCGGCGGCGGCGCGCCGCAGGGCAGGGCGGCGTACTGAGTCGGCAGGGCGGCGCGCTGAGTGAGCAGGGCGCACCTTCACCACCTTGAAGCTGCCGCCATACTCCTGTGCGGGGGCCGGCACATGGATGCGCAATATTTGAAACCGTGGCGCTTGCTTTTGAGGTCGGCTTGGTGGCGAGCCCGGGATCGCCGTCGCTGCAAAAAGCCAGAGCCATGCAACAGGGCGGCCGCCCCAAACGCCCCCAGCTTGCTTGCGGCTCGGTCGCCGCCGCCGCAGCTCCAGCCGCCGCCGCGCCCATGGGCTGACAGGGTGCTTCGGCAGCAACTGTGGCAGGCGCGAGGGCAACAAGGCAGGAGCGTGTGCGCAAGGGCCGCGATTTGGGGGGGCCCAGGCCCCACCTGCTCCGCCCAATCCATCAGAGGCGCCACCAGCTTGCAGGGGCCGCACCACACCGCCCAAAAGTCGACCAACACCGGCTTGTCGCTCTGAGCGTGTGCATGCGGGGCGCCGCGGGGGATACGAAAGTGGCGGGGTTCGTGCGCGCGGCGGGAGCGGGGCTGGTGGGTGGGTGGCGCATCTCGGCAAAGCTGGCAGTCCTGAGTGGCGTAGCGGCGCCGCTGCCAAGCGTCGCAGCTACCGCTGTGGCCATCGTGAACGCTGCATGACGCAAAACGGCGCTGCAAACATCAGTCGTCCCAGGGGCGGGGCGCAGCGTGCTGGCCCTGGCGCCAGAGACAGTTTCCAGTTTGCTGGTTGAGCAGCGCAAGCGCTTTGCGCGCTCAGGCGCCAATGCTGCAGTGGGCATGCCTCCCTACACCGAGTCACTTGTCACGAAAAATGCCACCCTCATAAACGTTCTCATGACTCGCCTTGAGGACCTCTGCCTCCCACTGCGAGTCACCCTCGATCTCCAGCACCCGCACTACATGGGACGACCGCTGCTGCACACGTGGGAGGCGAGTTGCTGCTGAGACATTCCCGCGGGGTGCGCCAGCTAGGGCCGCACGCCGCGAGCTGAGGGCCTGCATCTTTCGTGCCGGTGCTGTCGTTGCGTCAACAGACAGCTGCTGCGGACTTGTGATGCGTATAAAAGGGGAAGCTTCAAAGGTAAGAATGCAACGTGCTCGGCAGTCCCGTAAGTTGAGAGCAGCAAAGCGGGTGTCGGAACGGTAGAAGCAGTCATCAAGCCTTCAAAAGGCCTGATATGCATCAGATACAACATCTGAAAGCATTACTGCTGGTTTGAGCGAGCCTGATAGCTCACGTGGCCAACAAACTGCCTGGTCAGTTGCGTGGCTAGTAATTGCCACGGCCATGATGACGATCGGCGGGCGGGGTGGCTGACAGTGCAGGGCAGGTGTTGCCTTCGAAGGCATGGTGGAGGCTGCACTCATCAAACAGGAGGGAACCTGACGGAACAATCCCTCACTCCCCACGCCGCATGCACCATGTGCTGGCAAAGCACAGCCCAGCTGGATGGGGACGTACAGGTGCTGGCTGTCTCGCTGATGAGCTGGAGAGTGAGGCAAAAACCAACGCCCTTGCCACCATGGGCACATGATGACGCACTTGTGTTGGTTATAACATGTTTTCCTCCATTATTTGTGCGTACAAGTACCACGACCACCACACTCCCCTGTCCCCTCGCAGCGGGCAGGCCCATCGTGCATCAATCACCCCTGCCGGCCGCCATCACGCTCCGCCGCGCTCGAGCGCCGCCGCTCCATCTGCGCCCGCGCCCGCTCAAGCGCGCCCCCCGGCCTCCTCCCCGCGCCCGCCTCCGCCGCTGCCGCCGCCGCCCCAGCCGCACCCTGGCGGGGCGCCACCGCCGCGCCGCCATGGGCCGCTGCGTGCGCCGCCAAGCCCTCAATGCCCGCCACCTCAGCCGCGCTCAGCCCTTGCACCGCCTCCAGCAGCTGCCGCGCCTGGGCACCACCCTCGGCCCCCGCCGCCGCCCCTGCCGCCGCCCTTGCCGACACCGTCAGTGTTGAATGGCCCGACGGCGCGCGCTGCTGCTGCTGCTGCTGCTGCTGCTGCTGCTGCTGCTGCTGGTGGTGCATAGGACTCCCTCCACCCGGCAGCCGCGCGCCGGTCGGCGCCCCGTAAGCGGCCGCGTACCCCGCCGCCATGGCGGCGCTGCCCATCGATGACGACGAGCGCAGCGGCGATCCGCGGCGCGCGGCGGCGGAGCCGGCCGCCGGGGTGACGCCGGGTGACGTCACTGCGGTGACCGCCAGCTCGCCATCTGGGTACACTTGGACCCGGTCCATCGACAGCTGCGTATGAGCGCGGATTACATAAGACGGGCGCTTTGTCGATGATAACGCATGCGCACAAAGCCGGCCTATCAGGCGGGGCTGGCGGTTCCAGGGGTCCCCATTCCCCTCCCATCGGGCGATCCCAACCGCTGCAGTGTGCGTCTCCGCAGCTTCTCTGTCTGTATGCCTCTGCCATCTCACCAACCCACAAGCCTTCCCGTCGGTGGTGTGCATGCGCCAACCCCGCCCGGGCCCC